CATTACATTTAATGAAAACCAGGCTGGACAGTCGGCTGACAGAGAGAGCATTCCTTTTTGCAGTAAGGATATCGTTCATGCAGCTGAATGCCCGCTCACACTCACTAGTGGAGACAGCGATGGTTCGGACTGCTTTCAGTAGAGGCTCCATGGCAGCAGGTGTACGGGATGCCCTGGTTTCCTTGTATTCGCGAAAGCCCTGAACAGTCTCTCTTCTGTCCACTTTCAGCACTTCGCACAAACGTAGCACCTCTACGTCCCCATACTGTACGTCTAATTCCTCTTCAGGCCAACTTCCAGGATGGATAACTTTCATGTCCTGGATTAGCTGATTGTCCCGGGCCTCCCGGCCATGTAATGGGATTTATCTTGTGCTGACATGAGAGGAGGTTGTGGAAGTCATTCTGTGTCTCAGATTCTCTACCATACTGCGGAAAAACTGACCTGCATGAATCTGTACAAGCCTGCCATTCTCACGCAGGGCAACACCCTTGAAGGACTTCTCAGCTAGAGCTGTATGAACTGTAGTCATGTGTGGGCCAGGCATGGTGACCATGGATTCAAAAACTCGTATTTCTCGAGTTAAGAGCCTATCTGCTGTAGGCAGTGTCATCTCTCTTTTTTGGAGTTGCCGAGAGAGGTCGCTGAGCTCTGTGAGCGCATCGTACATCAGTCCCAGATTGCTGACAAACGTTGCAGATGTGAGCACATCATCCAGGCCCTTGTACTTTGCTCTGTCTCTGGAATCCCTGCTCGTGTCGTTTGCAGCATTTGTGAAGTGATCATGAAGCACTCGGTAGTTTTCCCAGACTGCTCTGACGCTCCTTTCACTTGAAGCCACCCAGCGGATGGACAAAACACGCCCTATCACCAGGAGACGCTGTCCGACTGCTTGCGCACACTGCGCTAACTGCCTCTGATTTTTGGGGGAGGCATGGAACAAGGAATAGAGTTTGTCAAAAAAGATCTGGAAATGATTGAGCCCTGAGACCTCCTTGACCACATCCCCAACTGCCAGCTCTAGACGATGATTGGAGCAGTGCCACACAAACAGGCTTGGGAATTTACTACACAACTGGGTAGCAACGCCTGTTCTCTTCCCTAGCATGACTGAAGCCCCATCACATGCAAAATAAACGAAACACTGACCTAAAAAGTCCTCATTAAAATCTCTTCCAAGACACTCCATTAACGCCTTTGTGATGTCATCAGCCGTTGTTCCATCCAACTCGATCAGCTCCCAAAAAAACGTTTCGGGCTCAGCATCAGCTAATGCTGAGCGTAGACACACAACAAGCACTGTTTTACCACTAATAGTGGTAGATTCATCGACCAAAACACAGAGTTTTCTTTGCTTTTCTGTAATGTCTTTTGCCATTTTTTTCTTCAGCTCATGAGCTATGTGGTCGATGATTTCGCCACAGGTTTTATTGGAGTGCAAAACCCTGCCCACGTTCAGCCCATTCAGTTTCTGTACATTCAAATCAATTGGCATGTCTGTGAATGGCCGGCTATGTTTGCCAATTTTATATGCCGTTCGAAAAACTCTGATAGTGGTGTCTAATTCAGATTTATGCATAGACTGCACTTGATGTTGAATAGTTTCACGTGAAGCAGATGTAAGGATGTCAGCAGCTTTTACATGGGCTTGTGATTCTTTATGTTCTTTGATTTTTTTTCTCAGGCTAGCTTGTTGTTTGCCCTTGTCAACACCGAAATGAGACACTGCACACTCACCCCATTCAGTTGACAGTTTCAGTCCTTGTCCAGTGTGTATTCCCAAAGATTTGACATCTCTGCATATCCGACATCCTAGCTTCTTATCTTTAAGAAGGAGCCATGCATTGGTCTTGCAAAAATATTGCACCTGGTCCGTTGTCCAGCAGTCAGGTGCATCGCTTTGCCCGGTGTTGGTGGTGGCAGTTGCGCCAGCAGCAGCTAACGTTAGAGGCTCTGGAGGAGGCGGCGGAGCTAGTGCTAATGCTAATGCACTAGAACTTGGAGCAGGAGGATCAACCAAAGAAAGCTCCCCATCAGACACAATTTCCAACACAGGCACAGCATTCTCTGTATTTGAAGTTTCTTCCGGCGACAACCGCTGTCTTTTTGCACTTTTATTAATCCACGCTAACATTTTAGAAATGCTCATTTGTGACGTGACTTGCTTTCCTTCTCTCGGGGGCGTGCCTGCTCTGTTCTATCACTCTACATAGCCACCCACTGGGTGGGAGTTGCACTGCATAAACACAACACACGTGCATCTAGGTATGTCAATTGTAAAGCATTAAAACATGGTTTTACTAACAGTTTTCAGTATGTTGTTACTTCGGCATTATTATTATTATTATTTTGAAACGTGTATTACTATTAAATCACGGTCAAATAGGTTAATTTTGACATAGTCGTTTCCACCACAGTATTTACATGGAGAAGATAAGCCCCGCCCCCTCTCCAGCACGTTCTGTTTGAATGACAGGAGTAAACAGCTGACAGCCGCTGTGAAACTCCAGCGGTTAGAGCGATGAGAATGTCCGTTCGGCACCTCATGACGCATCTACTGAGTACCGGGCGGCTGTATATATATATATATATATATATGGATGTATAATAAGAACGGCGGGAGAGTGTTGAGTACTGGCACGGTGCATGAGTACCGGAGTACCGCCAGCATGCCGGTACTGAGCAAGAAGTGCCGGTACTCCATGGGTCAGAACCAGAAGTGCCGGTACTGCGTACCGGTGAGTACCGGCCCAATTCCAGCACTAATTATACCACCTGCTTGTTGCTCTCTGTCAAACGGTAGTCTGACAGGAAAGTATTTTGGTCGCGGTACGCCCGTGGGTCTGGGCTAAGCTGACCAGGGCGGGCAGAAGCTCCGGATTTTGCTTCTGTGTATCCCCCCTGTGTGGTTGGCTCCGAGTCATTAAAAACTGCGTTCTAACCTCGTCCGCCATTTATTTTTGTTTGTTTGTTTAAAAAAACAACACAAAAATGTATTAAAGGGTTCAAGTTCACTCTTTTATACACATGCAAGTTCCTAGGCTTTACTCTCGACGGGTGATCAGTCCGACTATACCGTCACTTGGTTCTAAGTTCTCTTTCTGGATTCAGTTAGTACATGCGGGTACCTCAGCTAAGAGTGTTATGTACCGAGCTTCGAATTTTTTAAACAGCATAGGTACCTTTAGACCTATGTTTATCTTTATTAAATCTCCCATTAACTCTTCCCCACGTTATGTTTTAACGCAAAAGTTCAAACCGCAGCTCTTGGTCAAGTCCTACCTATAAGTTTCAAAGTAATTGGACAAGTACTGAGCAGTGCTCCTACGGCTGACTTCACTTTAGCCACCTAAACCTGTGTTAAAGGGACCACAGGCTTCTCAATTTGACTAGGGGAAAATGAACCTTCTTTAGCTTCTTTAATCAGACAGCTATATCCGATATAATATAACCCTCAGTCCGGTGCAATAGTATTAACTTAAATTACTACACTTTCAGGTTTAATTATATATATTCTAGGATTTGGGGTAGGTATTTTAACAAGACTTTCAGCCTGTATTTCGCTGATTTGTATTCCTCGACTTTTTTCACTAGGTCGTTTTGGTTCTTGTATTTTGACTCTGTAAAAATATTACTTTTCACAGAGCCCCACGTTGGGCGCCATGTTTAGAGTTTTGAGAGGTCCTGATAATTTATTCCGGTAAATTATTCTGACCTCCTAATTGACCTTTCCGAAGATTATTGAGTCTATGTAAGTTTGCTGCGTGGCTCAGATCCACCAACGTCAGCAAGATCTCACCTCTTCCTAACCCCCCCGAAGAACCAGGTTCAATTAACTGCTGTTTCAATTCAGACAACTCTTTTTTAATCTGTTTAAGCGATCCCGAAGGATTTTGATATCAGTAAATGGAGTGTGCTCCTACCTAAGTGTGTGTGGCAGGGTGCAATCTTACCTTTGACGCAGGAGAGGAGGGCACAGGTGTCTTTTAAAGGATCCCAATCCAACAGGTGGGATTCAGTTTATTTGAAGAAAAATAGGTCCAAACTAATACAGGGTTTTTACCTTCTCTCTCACAACCTTATAATCATACTAACAAAAAAACCGTGCTGTGATCATGTTCAAATGAAACTTTAATTCACAGTCTTACATTTATTACCAAAATGTTTTAATTCCAACTGCCCATTTCAGTTGTGACATTTTAAAATTCTCCCGATAGAATTTAGAGGTATTTCCTCGTAAAAAGACCGGTGACAATAAAAAGCGCATTCAACTTTCCATTCACCCATTTATTCACATCAGTTTCATACCGTTTTTTCCGACACAGACGGCGGATTAACACTCAAAAACCCATACCTGTCCGCACATTTCGGGGGACCAGATTTTCCCCACAGGTCGCGGTATTTATAAAGGTTCATACACTTTCTCTCATCAAATCATTCCACTCAGCCAACAACCAATAAATTCGAGAGATATTTACCCCGTCTAGAAGGACCTTACCGAGAGCTATTAACCCAGCTCTGAAGCACACAGCCTACCGGGAGAGAGTCTACCAGGGGTCACCCCCCCTCTCTCGCGCTCTCTCAAAAAACCAGTCTCTTTATGCTAAAAAAACTGGATCCTAAACCCAAAAAAACAAACTCCTCCTCTTCATGTTAGGGTGAAAAGGACATGAACTCTCTTTGGCCTCTTAATGTGTCTCCTTAGTGTGAAGCCCCCCCCCCCCCCCCCCCTCCCTGTGGACTGCTGCCAGAGGAGAGGAAGAAAACTCAACCTAAACAACCCACTTTGTTTTGTTTATACTGTAACTATAGAAAACCTAAAATATGAAGCATTTTCATTGTGGGTTATACAAGAATATAATTGATTATATTTGATTATAACTAACTTTCGTTTTTAAGTATTAAACATACTATGAAAACTCACAACAGTACAGGAGAGGAGGTTAACTCGTACAGTCCATATGTTTCATGTAAAGTATAACTGAGCATGTGTCCGGCAGGAGATCTCAGAGAGCGACCTGCTCGGCGTCCCCATCAACAAACTGCAGCTGCATCCCAACGGACGCTGCCTGCTGATCCACGCCAGAGACAGCGTGCTCCGGGTGATGGACCTGCGCATGTAAATATCTATCACATATAATCTGGTGGTTTTCTGCGTCAGATGCAAATATTATATTTGTTTATGACTGAGGGTGAGAGGGCAACTCAAAGTGTAAATATGACATGAAGTGTATACAAATGGGATCAGTAAAGTACATCTGATCTCATGTGATCTCCTCTGATCTCATCTGATCTCCTCTGATCTCATCTGATCTCATGTGATCTCCTCTGATCTCATCTGATCTCCTCTGATCTAATCTGATCTCATGTGATCTCCTCTGATCTCATCTGATCTCATGTGATCTCCTCTGATCTCATCTGATCTCCTCTGATCTCATCTGATCTCATGTGATCTCCTCTGATCTCATCTGATCTCATCTGATCTCCTCTGATCTCATGTGATCTCCTCTGATCTCCTCTGATCTCATCTGATCTCATGTGATCTCCTCTGATCTCATCTGATCTCCTCTGATCTCATCTGATCTCATCTGATCTCCTCTGATCTCCTCTGATCTCATCTGATCTCATCTGATCTCCTCTGATCTCATCTGATCTCATGTGATCTCCTCTGATCTCATGTGATCTCATCTGATCTCCTCTGATATCATCTGATCTCATGTGATCTTCTCTGATCTCATCTGATCTCCTCTGATCTCATCTGATCTCATGTGATCTCATCTGATCTCATCTGATCTCCTCTGATCTCCTCTGATCTCATGTGATCTCCTCTGATCTCATGTGATCTCATCTGATCTCATGTGATCTCATCTGATCTCATCTGATCTCATCTGATCTCATGTGATCTCCTCTGATCTCATGTGATCTCCTCTGATCTCATGTGATCTCATCTGATCTCATGTGATCTCATGTGATCTCATCTGATCTCCTCTGATCTCATGTGATCTCATGTGATCTAATGTGATCTCATCTGATCTCATCTGATCTCATGTGATCTCATCTGATCTCATGCCTGTGGTCAGCCTGGCGGTGAAGCGCTACATCGGGGCCACGAACTACCGAGAGAGGCTCTGCAGCACCTTCACCCCCTGTGGGAGCTTCCTGTTTTCAGGCAGCGAGGACGGCATGGCCTACGTCTGGAACACCGACACCGGTCAGACCCTCTTATTATCATTACTATTACATACCTATCTATATACCTGCAGCTGACCCCCCCCCCCCCCCCCCCCCCCCCCCTCTCTCAGGAGACCAGCTGGCGGTGTACTCGGAGCTGAGTTTCTCCACCGCGCTGCACGGGGTCTGCTTTCACCCCCACGAAAACATGGTGGCCTTCAGTGCCTTCGGACAGGAGCAGCTGATCCACCTCTACCTGCACGACCGCACAGGTGAGGATACACACACGCACGCACGCACGCACACACACACACACACACACACACACACGCAGTCAATGGGTTAACCCTAACCCTGACCCAGTCAATATGCAAATAAAAGAAACTTTTATAAAACATTAAAAACTGGCACAATTTTAAAACAACTTCAATGATGGGATATAAGCGCAATCACATCGACCAATCACACCTCTGTTCTCTGTCCGCCCCACAGTGATCACATCTGACAGTTGCTGCTCCTTCTTCACTGTATTCCAGGCAGAAGGAGCAGCGTATCTAAAGCAGTTTGACCCAGCTCTCCCTTTAGGAACCAGCACCTTATCAACTAAACCAGCACCCGATCAACTCAACCAGCACCCGATCAACTCAACCAGCACCCGATCAACTCAACCAGCACCCGATCAACTCAACCAGCACCCGATCAACTCAACCAGCACCCGATCAACTCAACCAGCACCCGATCAACTCAACCTGCACCCGATCAACTCAACCTGCACCCGATCAACTCAACCTGCACCCGATCAACTCAACCAGCACCCGATCAACTCAACCAGCACCCGATCAACTCAACCAGCACCCGATCAACTCAACCAGCACCCGATCAACTAAACCAGCACCCCGATCAACTCAACCAGCACCCGATCAACTCAACCAGCACCCGATCAACTCAACCAGCACCCGATCAACTAAACCAGCACCCGATCAACTAAACCAGCACCCGATCAACTAAACCAGCACCCGATCAACTAAACCAGCACCCGATCAAACTAAACCAGCACCCGATCAACTAAACCAGCACCCGATCAACTCAACCAGCACCCGATCAACTCAACCAGCACCCGATCAACTCAACCAGCACCCGATCAACTCAACCAGCACCCGATCAACTCAACCAGCACCCGATCAACTCAACCAGCACCCGATCAACTCAACCAGCACCCGATCAACTCAACCAGCACCCGATCAACTAAACCAGCACCCGATCAACTCAACCAGCACCCGATCAACTCAACCAGCACCCGATCAACTCAACCAGCACCGATCAACTAACCAGCAACCCGATCAACTCAACCAGCACCCGATCAACTCAACCAGCACCCGATCAACTCAACCAGAACACCGATCAACTAAACCAGCACCCGATCCACTCAACCAAGCACCCGATCAACTCAACCAGCACCCGATCAACTCAACCAGCACCCGATCAACTAAACCAGCACCCGATCAACTCAACCAGCACCCGATCAACTCAAACCAGCACCCGATCAACTCAACCAGCACCCGATCAACTCAACCAGCACCCGATCAACTCAAACCAGCACCCGATCAACTAAACCAGCACCCGATCAACTAAACCAGCACCCGATCAACTCAAACCAGCACCCGATCAACTCAACCAGCACCCGATCAACTCAACCAGCACCCGATCAACTAAACCAGCACCCGATCAACTCAACCAGCACCCGATCAACTCAACCAGCACCCGATCAACTCAACCAGCACCCGATCAACTCAACCAGCACCTATCAAACTCAACCAGCACCCGATCAACTCAACCAGCACCCCGATCAACTCAAACCAGCACCCGATCAACTAAACCAGCACCCGATCAACTCAACCAGCACCCGATCAACTCAACCAGCACCCGATCAACTCAACCAGCACCCGATCAACTAAACCAGCACCCGATCAACTCAACCAGCACCCGATCAACTCAACCAGCACCCGATCAACTCAACCAGCACCCGATCAACTAAACCAGCACCCGATCAACTCAACCAGCACCCGATCAACTCAACCAGCACCGATCAACTCAACCAGCACCCCGATCAACTCAACCAGCAACCCGATCCACTCAACCAACCAGGCACAACCCGATCAACTCAACAAGCACCCGCTCAACTCAACCAGCACCCGATCAACTCAACCAGCACTCCGATCAACTCAACCAGCACTTCCGATCAACTCAACCAGCACCCGAGCAAACCAGCCCCGATCAACTCCTAACCATCCACCACGATCCACTCTCAACCAAGCACCCGATCCAACTCAACCAGCACCCCGATCAACTCAACCAGGCACCCAGATATCAACTCAACCAGCACCCGATCCAACTCAACCAGCACCCGAGTCACACTCAACCAGCACCCGATCAACTCAACCAGCACCCGATCCAAACCAGCACCCCGATCAACTCAACCAGCACCCGTTCAACTCAACCAGCACCCCGATCCAACTCAACCAGCACCCGATCAACTCAACCAGCACCCGATCAACTCAACCAGCACCCGATCAACTCAACCAGCACCCGATCAACTCAACCAGCACCCGATCAACTCAACCAGCACCCGATCAACTCAACCAGCACCCGATCAACTACAACAAATTGATCTGGAAAAATAACTGCGATATTTTCTGAGATTTCGTGAAAGAGAACAACATTACAGAAAGATGATATGTTTTAAAAATGTGCAAACATGAATACTCACTGAAGTTAAAGTAGAAATGATGAGAATCAAGTCTAAAAGAATATTTGTATTTTTTGTTGTAAATGTATCACGTTCATTTTAGAAGATTTGAACTCAGGAAATGCCCCCCCCCGTCCTTTTGTACGTCTTCATCATTTGTGTTTCACAGCAGGGGGTGTTATAGCATTCAACCCTAACCTAAGTGTCCCCCCCCCATGTCTCTCTGTCAGTGTCCCAGCTGGAGGGCCAGAGTCTGAAGGCCAGCAGCAGGTCGTCCTCTGCAGACCCCCGGACCCCCCCCCCCCCCCCCCCCTGCAGGACTCCATGGATCAGCTGATCCTCACCACCAGGCTGGCTCTGAAGATGCAGAGCGTCAAGCAGCAGCTCGACTCTGTGCTGGTTAATATCCTTTATCATAACAACTATTATTATTATTTATTTCTATTATAGCCTTTTAAATATATATATATATTTATTGCTATTATTATTAATAATCATATTTTAGTTTTATTATTATTGCTTTGTTATTTTTATCATTGCTAATATTATGAATACCTATTATATATTATTTCTTAATATGTTTTATTATATTTGCTGATTGTACCATTGCCTTTATTTTTATTATAATTATTATACTTATAATCATTATATAAAGTTATTGATAGTAACAAATCAAAACCTTTATTGTTATTTTGTTGTCCTTTTTATTTAAAATATTGTTTTATATGTTTTTATATAAAAATACAGATTTTTTTTCAGGAGACTCCTCGGTCCTCTCTGTCCGGACACAACGAGCCAGGTGCTGCCAGGGTGTCATATCTAATATCTCCATCAACCTGTCAATCAAACAGGGCTGTTTACTTATAGTGTGTGTGTGTGTGTGTGTGTGTGTGTGTGTGTGTGTGTGTGTGTGTGTGTGTGTGTGTGTGTGTGTGTGTGTGTGTGTGTGTGTGTGTGTGTGTGTGTGTGTGTGTGTGTGTGTGTGTGTGTGTGTGTGTGTGTGTGTGGTGTGTGTGTGTGTGTGTGTGTGTGTGTGTGTGTGTGTGTGTGTGTGTGTGTGTGTGTGTGTGTGTGTGTGTGTGTGTGTGTGTGTGTGTGTGTGTGTGTGTGTGTGTGTGTGTGTGTGTGTGTGTGTTTCAGATAAAATGAGCTTCATTCACTCAGGGAGGAGCTTCACCCCTGACTCTGTCACAGTGAGTTTTAAATCAGATTACAAATATTTTCTGTCATTTTAAACACCAAACACTCCTCTAGGAATCCTCATAATAATTCATAATGATAGCGGTTAGTAGCAGCTGTAGTTAGTGAACGTGGTCTTATTGAGGTGATGTAACATTCATGGCCTTCATATCAACAATAGACCTCATTCAGTAACTTCATGCTGAATGTGTTTCTGCTGCTCCAACCCGCAACAATGTGACCAGGAGTCCCATACAGACGCTCTTTGTAAAGCTACATATTTAATACCATGGGAGCATTATTACTAATCTGATTACAGACATGTGGGAAAGAAGTCCTGAACACAGAGTATAGTCCGGCTCCTTTTCACTAAATACATATATTTCATGTATTCTCCACTTTGGATTGACCTCTCTACATTGAATCAAGAACAAGATTATTGATGAAATGTGTTCATGTAAAGTAGATGTGTGTTTGAAGTGAAATTAATCTCCTGCCCCTCTTGTTTCAGACGGGGTTAAACTCTTCGCTGCCCCCCCCCTCCTTCCTCTCTCCTCACGCCAAACTGCAGATCTCTGGATCTGTGGCCGAGACGCTGATCCCTCTGGCCTCGCTCAGCACTCAGCAGCGTGAGTTATTACACTGCTGTTACACTGGTGTTACACTGGTGTTACACTGGTATTACACTGCTGTTACACTGGTATTACACTGGTATTACACTGGTGTTACACTGGTATTACACTGGTATTACACTGGTGTTACACTGGTGTTACACTGGTATTACACTGCTGTTACACTGGTATTACACTGGTATTACACTGGTGTTACACTGCTGTTACACTGATATTACACTGGTATTACACTGCTGTTACACTGGTATTACACTGGTATTACACTGGTGTTACACTGCTGTTACACTGATATTACACTGGTATTACACTGCTGTTACACTGATATTACACTGGTATTACACTGGTGTTACACTGGTATTACACTGGTGTTACACTGCTGTTACACTGGTATTACACTGCTGTTACACTGGTATTACACTGCTGTTACACTGGTGTTACACTGCTGTTACACTGGTATTACACTGGTGTTACACTGGTGTTACACTGCTGTTACACTGGTATTACACTGGTATTACACTGGTATTACACTGCTGTTACACTGCTGTTACACTGGTGTTACACTGGTATTACACTGGTGTTACACTGGTATTACACTGCTGTTACACTGCTGTTACACTGCTGTTACACTGGTATTACACTGGTATTACACTGCTGTTACACTGGTATTACACTGCTGTTACACTGCTGTTACACTGGTATTACACTGCTGTTACACTGGTATTACACTGGTATTATACTGGTGTTACACTGGTATTACACTGCTGTTACACTGGTATTACACTGCTGTTACACTGGTATTACACTGGTGTTACACTGGTATTACACTGCTGTTACACTGGTATTACACTGGTGTTACACTGGTATTATACTGGTGTTACACTGCTGTTACACTGGTGTTACACTGGTGTTACACTGCTGTTACACTGGTGTTACACTGGTGTTACACTGGTATTACACTGGTGTTACACTGGTGTTACACTGGTGTTACACTGCTGTTACACTGGTGTTACACTGCTGTTACACTGGTATTACACTGGTATTATACTGGTGTTACACTGGTGTTACACTGGTATTACACTGCTGTTACACTAGTATTACACTGCTGTTACACTGGTATTACACTGGTGTTACACTGGTATTACACTGGTATTACACTGGTGTTACACTGCTGTTACACTGGTGTTACACTGGTATTATACTGGTGTTACACTGGTGTTACACTGCTGTTACACTGGTATTACACTGCTGTTACACTGGTATTACACTGGTATTATACTGGTGTTACACTGGTGTTACACTGGTATTACACTGCTGTTACACTGGTATTACACTGCTGTTACACTGGTGTTACACTGCTGTTACACTGCTGTTACACTGGTGTTACACTGGTATTATACTGGTGTTACACTGGTGTTACACTGCTGTTACACTGCTGTTACACTGGTTTTACACTGCTGTTACACTGGTGTTACACTGGTATTACACTGGTGTTACACTGGTGTTACACTGGTGTTACACTGGTATTATACTGGTTTTACACTGGTGTTACACTGCTGTTACACTGGTATTATACTGGTTTTACACTGGTGTTACACTGCTGTTACACTGGTGTTACACTGGTGTTACACTGGTGTTACACAGCTGTTACACTGCTGTTACACTGCTGTTACACTGGTGTTACACTGCTGTTACACTGGTATTACACTGGTATTACACTGCTGTTACACTGGTATTACACTGCTGTTACACTGCTGTTACACTGGTATTACACTGCTGTTACACTGGTATTACACTGGTATTATACTGGTGTTACACTGGTGTTACACTGGTATTACACTGCTGTTACACTGGTATTACACTGGTGTTACACTGGTATTACACTGCTGTTACACTGGTATTACACTGGTATTACACTGGTGTTACACTGCTGTTACACTGGTGTTACACTGGTATTATACTGGTGTTACACTGCTGTTACACTGGTGTTACACTGCTGTTACACTGGTGTTACACTGGTGTTACACTGGTGTTACACTGCTGTTACACTGCTGTTACACTGGTGTTACACTGCTGTTACACTGCTGTTACACTGGTGTTACACTGGTATTATACTGGTGTTACACTGCTGTTACACTGGTGTTACACTGGTATTACTATTAACTTGCATCACTGTTATTTTAACAAATAGAGACTCTAAATCCCTACAGTAGTAGGACACATAAAGCCTCTGTGTGGTTGGTGGCCCCTGGTCTGATAGTCCTGGGAATGTGGGGTCACATATTTGTTGGATTACAGCTGAGCAGATCAGGGGTGAATGTTCTCCGTGCAGTGGAACATGTTCTCCGTGCAGTGGAACATGTTCTTCGTGCAGTGGAACATGTTCTCCGTGTAGTGGAACATATTCTCCGTGCAGTGGAACATGTTCTCCGTGCAGTGGAACATGTTCTCCGTGCAGTGGAACATGTTCTCCGTGCAGTGGAACATGTTCTCCGTGTAGTGGAACATGTTCTCCGTGCAGTGGAACATGTTCTCCGTGCAGTGGAACATGTTCTCCGTGTAGTGGAACATGTTCTCCGTGTAGTGGAACATGTTCTCCGTGTAGTGGAACATGTTCTCCGTGCAGTGGAACATGTTCTCCGTGCACAGAGACGGGCCTCTGATCCTTACACCTGTGTCCGTACGTCTGTAATGAATCACTGCGTCCTGTTACACTCCAACACTCCCACAAGCTAACAGCCGATTGTTCCTGTCCCTTCAGGAGGCTTCAGTCCAGTGGGTCAGCGTCTGAGAGGAGCCCCGTCCTCCAGGCTGCACACGGTAACAGATCATACTGTGTGTTATAAAAGGGTTTCTATTCCACTGAGCATTTAGTCAGCTGCTAAAGCTATTTGTGCTGCCGCGCGATTAAAAGGGTTTCCAGGGGTCCTTTGAAAAAAGTGCATTTTCCAAAATGAAACTCTGAAACATTTTGAGATGTTTTTGTGTCCCTCCTCCAGAGCGTCTCGGACCGTGTCTCTGCAGGAGGACATGTCTCTGCAGGAGGACATGAGACAGAGTCAGCTGATCAACAGGTGGTGAGTCTTAATCCATCAATCAATCTAGTTCCTCAGAGACTCCTATAGGCCTGCTGCTGGTTTCAGAGAACAGCTTTCAGGAGCTTCAGTTTCACTTCCCCCCCTGCAGGTGGTGTCTCTGTACGACTACAGGGCGTCCCGCTCTGACGAGCTAACGCTGCGCCGCGGGGACGAGGTCCAGGTCCTCTTCAGGGACAACGAGAACTGGTGGTTCGGGCGGCTGTCTGACGGACAGCAGGGATACTTCCTGTCCTCATACGTCTCCGACCAGAGTGAGAGAGGGGGGGGGGGGTAGGATCATGGATGTTTAATAAGAACTGGATACAGCGTTGGAGGCGGGGCCTGTTCATTATGAGAGCTGCTCATTGGCTCATGAGGACAACATGGCCTGACATTTTAGAGAGCAAAACGTCACAGATTACCCATCATGCCTTGCTGTCAGAGCAGAAGTACCCGTATGTAGCTCATAGAGCACAGTTTAGTTTCCCCTTAAGCCACGCCTCCTGTAATTAAGCCCCACCTCCTGTTATTAAGCTCCACCCCCGATCTCCCGCTCTTCAGTAGAATGAATGGAGAGAGAAAATAAATCTGGATTCGGCTTTTAGTGCATTTTACAACTTTAAGGACCGAATGATTCTAAAAAGGGCTTTCACAGAGTTCATACTGGGTAGTTTATTAAGTTAAAATGATCCTCTGATTGACAGACGTCTCTTTCCCAATGTTAGTCAATGGGAGAAAGTCTTTCTGGGCCAGTGACGTCACGGACTGATACGGAAGTTGCCGTACCGCCGTTTGGACACTAGGAATATTTTCCTCAGAGTGCGGAGCACTTCCCGGGGGTTTGGTTATAATGCAATGTGTAAAAGATGCATTGTGGGTAAGAGTTATTGTCTGTTGCAGGAGACGAGGAGGGGGCTCCGGCTGCTGAGGAGACCGAGAGGAAGACTCCCACCAGGGTGAGGGGACGCCATCATACAGATTCATCTACTGCTAGTTCTGATTATATGATACTGGTTTAAAGGAGACCTGATGGTGGTCTTCATCACTTCCTGTCTCTCTCCAGGTGTCTGCTGCCATCAGTTCCTCCGGAGAGCTCCGCTTCCTGTCAGAGACAAACGACACAGAGCCAGAGACACAGGACACCAGGTGAGACACTGAGACACAGGACACCAGGTGAGACACAGAGACACAGAACACCAGGTGAGACACTGAGACACAGGACACCAGGTGAGACACAGAGACACAGAACACCAGGTGAGACACTGAGACACAGGACACCAGGTGAGACACAGAGACACAGAACACCAGGTGAGACACTGAGACACAGGACACCAGGTGAGACACTGAGACACAGGACACCAGGTGAGACACAGAGACACAGGACACCAGGTGAGACACTGAGACACAAGACACCAGGTGAGACACTGAGACACAGGACACCAGGTGAGACACAGAGACACAGGACACCAGGTGAGACACTGAGACACAGGACACCAGGTGAGACACTGAGACACAGGACACCAGGTGAGACACTGACAGAGACACAGGACACCAGGTGAGACACTGAGACACAGGACACCAGGTGAGACACAGAGACACAGGACACCAGGTGAGACACTGAGACACAGGACACCAGGTGAGACACTGACAGAGACACAGGACACCAGGTGAGACACTGAGACACAGGACACCAGGTGAGACACTGACAGAGACACAGGACACCAGGTGAGACACTGAGACACAGGACACCAGGTGAGACACTGAGACACAGGACACCAGGTGAGACACTGAGACACAGGACACCAGGTGAGACACTGACAGAGACACATGACACCAGGTGAGACACTGAGACACAGGACACCAGGTGAGACACTGAGACACAGGACACCAGATGAGACACTGAGACACAGGACACCAGGTGAGACACTGACAGAGACACAGGACACCAGGTGAGACACTGAGACACAGGACACCAGGTGAGACACAGAGACACAGGACACCAGGTGAGACACTGACAGAGACATAGGACACCAGGTGAGACACTGAGACACAGGACACCAGGTGAGACACTGACAGAGACACCAGGTGAGACACTGACAGAGACACCAGGTGAGACACTGACAGAGACAGAGATATAGACAACAATAAATAGTGACTGTTGTTGTGTTCCTGCAGAGTGAGGAGGAAGAAGAGGGTGAAGAAGGCGGGACTTCCTGCTTCAGACGCTCCTCAGGAGATGAGCAGGAGGAGAGGAAGATCAACAGACAGTCCTCTGGCTCACAGACACTCAGGAGGACACAGCAACGCTGCCTTCACTCCAGACACGTAGACTCCAGACACGTACAGACACGTAGACTCCAGACACGTACAGACACGTAGACTCCAGGCACGTACAGACACGTAGACTCCAGAGACGTACAGACACGTAGACTCCAGACACGTACAGACACGTAGACTCCAGAGACGTACAGACACGTAGACTCCAGACACGTACAGACACGTAGACTCCAGACACGTACAGACACGTAGACTCCAGACACGTACAGACACGTAGACTCCAGACACGTACAGACACGTAGACTCCAGACACGTACAGACACGTAGACTCCAGACACGTACAGACACGTAGACTCCAGACATGTACAGACACGTAGACTCCAGACACGCACAGACACGTAGACTCCAGACACGTACAGACACGTAGACTCCAGAGACGTACAGACACGTAGACTCCAGACACGTAGACTCCAGACACGTACAGACACGTAGACTCCAGAGACGTACAGACACGTAGACTCCAGGCACGTACAGACACGTACAGACACGTAGACTCCAGACACGTACAGACACGTAGACTCCAGGCACGTACAGACACGTAGACTCCAGGCACGTACAGACACGTAGACTCCAGGCACGTACAGACACGTAGACTCCAGGCACGTACAGACACGTAGACTCCAGACACGTACAGACACGTAGACTCCAGGCACGTACAGACACGTAGACTCCAGGCACGTACAGACACGTAGACTCCAGGCACGTACAGACACGTAGACTCCAGGCACGTACAGACACGTAGACTCCAGGCACGTACAGACACGTAGACTCCAGGCACGTACAGACACGTAGACTCCAGACACGTACAGACACGTAGACTCCAGACACGTACAGACACGTAGACTCCAGACACGTACAGACACGTAGACTCCAGACACGTACAGACACGTAGACTCCAGACACGTACAGACACGTAGACTCCAGACACGTACAGACACGTAGACTCCAGACACGTACAGACACGTAGACTCCAGACACGTACAGACACGTAGACTCCAGACACGCACAGACACGTAGACTCCAGGCACGTACAGACACGTAGACTCCAGGCACGTACAGACACGTAGACTCCAGAGACGTACAGACACGTAAACTCCAGAGACGTACAGACACGCAGACTCCAGACACGTACAGACACGTAGACTCCAGAGACGTACAGACACGTAGACTCCAGGCACATACAGACACGTACAGACACGTAGACTCCAGACACGTACAGACACGTAGACTCCAGGCACGTACAGACACGTAGACTCCAGACACGTACAGACACGTAGACTCCAGGCACGTACAGACACGTAGACTCCAGGCACGTACAGACACGTAGACTCCAGGCACGTACAGACACGTAGACTCCAGAGACGTACAGACACGTAAACTCCAGAGACGTACAGACACGCAGACTCCAGACACGTACAGACACGTAGACTCCAGAGACGTACAGACACGTAGACTCCAGGCACATACAGACACGTACAGACACGTAGACTCCAGACACGTACAGACACGTAGACTCCAGGCACGTACAGACACGTAGACTCCAGGCACGTACAGACACGTAGACTCCAGACACGTACAGACACGTAGACTCCAGGCACACTTGCCCTGCAGCTGTTCTTATTTCTGACGTCAGTATGTTGTGTGAATACAGATTCATGAATGGACTGTAAAGACGTGCTGATGAAATGATTCATAAAGAGTTGAGTAATTCAAAGGTATGTTTATCATATTGATCCACCTGCAGGAGGTGAGAGGGTCAGGGCGGCTGATGGTCTAAACTCTGAAATATATGTTCACATGTTGCCGTTGGGCAGATTTATGAAGTGTGTACATGTTACCGCTGATATAGAGAAACTAGATGTATGTCCTCAGCCTGTCAGAGATTACTCCTCTTCCTCACAGATATGCATTTGTAAAGTACATCATGTGAAGGCACAGGTTTGATATCAGACTTGTTTTTATAATAAAAACACTTGAAAGCGATGTTTTGAATTTAATTTGATTTTTGAACATACCTGTAAAACCATGATAATTATTATTATATATTACTAAGAATTATTTATAAGTAGTGTGGGGGAAACTTCTGAAGGAGACAGGACTCAGAGAGACACGAGGAGAGCTGGAGCTTTGATGGACTCAGAGACACGAGGAGAGCTGGAGCTCTGATGGAGTCAGGACTCAGAGAGACACGAGGAGAGCTGGAGCTCTGATGGAGTCAGGACTCAGAGAGACACGAGGAGAGCTGGAGCTCTGATGGAGTCAGGACTCAGAGAGACACGAGGAGAGCTGGAGCTCTGATGGAGTCAGGACTCAGAGAGACACGAGGAGAGCTGGAGCTCTGATGGAGTCAGGACTCAGAGAGACACGAGGAGAGCGGGAGCTCTGATGGAGTCAGGACTCAGAGAGACACGAGGAGAGCTGGAGCTCTGATGGAGTCAGGACTCAGAGAGACACGAGGAGAGCTGGAGCTCTGATGGAGTCAGGACTCAGAGAGACACGAGGAGAGCTGGAGCTCTGATGGAGTCAGGACTCAGAGAGACACGAGGAGAGCTGGAGCTTTGATGGAGTCAGGACTCAGAGAGACACGAGGAGAGCTGGAGCTCTGATGGAGTCAGGACTCAGAGAGACACGAGGAGAGCTGGAGCTCTGATGGAGTCAGGACTCAGAGACACGAGGAGAGCTGGAGCTCTGATGGAGTCAGGTCTCAGAGAGACACGAGGAGAGCTGGAGCTCTGATGGAGTCAGGACTCAGAGACACGAGGAGAGCTGGAGCTCTGATGGAGTCAGGACTCAGAGAGACACGAGGAGAGCTGGAGCTCTGATGGAGTCAGGTCTCAGAGAGACACGAGGAGAGCTGCAGCTCTGATGGAGTCAGGACTCAGAGAGACACGAGGAGAGCTGGAGCTCTGATGGAGTCAGGACTCAGAGAGACACGAGGAGAGCTGGAGCTCTGATGGAGTCAGGACTCAGAGAGACACGAGGAGAGCTGGAGCTTTGATGGAGTCAGGACTCAGAGACACGAGGAGAGCTGGAGCTTTGATGGAGTCAGGACTCAGAGACACGAGGAGAGCTGGAGCTTTGATGGAGTCAGGACTCAGAGAGACACGAGGAGAGCTGGAGCTCTGATGGAGTCAGGACTCAGAGACACGAGGAGAGCTGGAGCTCTGATGGAGTCAGGACTCAGAGACACGAGGAGAGCTGGAGCTCTGATGGAGTCAGGACTCAGAGACACGAGGGGAGCTGGAGCTTTGATGGAGTCAGGACTCAGAGAGACACGAGGAGAGCTGGAGCTTTGATGGAGTCAGGACTCAGAGAGACACGAGGAGAGCTGGAGCTTTGATGGAGTCAGGACTCAAAGAGACACGAGGAGAGCTGGAGCTCTGATGGAGTCAGGACTCAGAGAGACACGAGGAGAGCTGGAGCTTTGATGGAGTCAGGACTCAAAGAGACACGAGGAGAGCTGGAGCTTTGATGGAGTCAGGACTCAGAGAGACACGAGGAGAGCTGGAGCTTTGATGGAGTCAGGACTCAAAGAGACACGAGGAGAGCTGGAGCTCTGATGGAGTCAGGACTCAGAGAGACACGAGGAGAGCTGGAGCTCTGATGGAGTCAGGACTCAGAGAGACACGAGGAGAGCTGGAGCTTTGATGGAGTCAGGACTCAGAGAGACACGAGGAGAGCTGGAGCTTTGATGGAGTCAGGACTCAGAGAGACACGAGGAGAGCTGGAGCTTTGATGGAGTCAGGACTCAGAGAGACACGAGGAGAGCTGGAGCTTTGATGGAGTCAGGACTCAGAGAGACACGAGGAGAGCTGGAGCTTTGATGGAGTCAGGACTCAGAGAGACACGAGGAGAGCTGGAGCTTTGATGGAGTCAGGACTCAAAGAGACACGAGGAGAGCTGGAGCTTTGATGGAGTCAGGACTCAGAGAGACACGAGGAGAGCTGGAGCTTTGATGGAGTCAGGACTCAAAGAGACACGAGGAGAGCTGGAGCTCTGATGGAGTCAGGACTCAGAGAGACACGAGGAGAGCTGGAGCTTTGATGGAGTCAGGACTCAGAGAGACACGAGGAGAGCTGGAGCTTTGATGGAGTCAGGACTCAGAGAGACACGAGGAGAGCTGGAGCTTTGATGGAGTCAGGACTCAAAGAGACACGAGGAGAGCTGGAGCTTTGATGGAGTCAGGACTCAGAGAGACACGAGGAGAGCTGGAGCTTTGATGGAGTCAGGACTCAGAGACACGAGGAGAGCTGGAGCTCTGATGGAGTCAGGACTCAGAGAGACACGAGGAGAGCTGGAGCTCTGATGGAGTCAGGACTCAGAGACACGAGGAGAGCTGGAGCTCTGATGGAGTCAGGACTCAGAGAGACACGAGGAGAGCTGGAGCTCTGATGGAGTCAGGACTCAGAGAGACACGAGGAGAGCTGGAGCTCTGATGGAGTCAGGACTCAGAGAGACACGAGGAGAGCTGGAGCTCTGATGGAGTCAGGACTCAGAGAGACACGAGGAGAGCTGGAGCTCTGATGGAGTCAGGACTCAGAGACACGAGGAGAGCTGGAGCTCTGATGGAGTCAGGACTCAGAGACACGAGGAGAGCTGGAGCTCTGATGGAGTCAGGACTCAGAGAGACACGAGGAGAGCTGGAGCTCTGATGGAGTCAGGACTCAAAGAGACACGAGGAGAGCTGGAGCTTTGATGGAGTCAGGACTCAAGAGACACGAGGAGAGCTGGAGCTCTGATGGAGTCAGGACTCAGAGAGACACGAGGAGAGCTGGAGCTCTGATGGAGTCAGGACTCAGAGAGACACGAGGAGAGCTGGAGCTCTGATGGAGTCAGGACTCAGAGAGACACGAGGAGAGCTGGAGCTCTGATGGAGTCAGGACTCAGAGAGACACGAGGAGAGCTGGAGCTTTGATGGAGTCAGGACTCAGAGAGACACGAGGAGAGCTGGAGCTTGATGGAGTCAGGAGCTCTGATGGAGTCAGGACTCAGAGAGACACGAGGAGAGCTAGAGCTCTGATGGAGTCAGGACTCAGAGAGACACGAGGAGAGCTGGAGCTCTGATGGAGTCAGGACTCAGAGAGACACGAGGAGAGCTGGAGCTTTGATGGAGTCAGGACTCAGAGAGACACGAGGAGAGCTGGAGCTCTGATGGAGTCAGGACTCAGAGAGACACGAGGAGAGCTGGAGCTCTGATGGAGTCAGGACTCAGAGAGACACGAGGAGAGGGTGGAGCTTTGATGGAGTCAGGACTCAGAGAGACACGAGGAGAGCTGGAGCTTTGATGGAGTCAGGGACTCAGAGACACGAGGAGAGCTGGAGCTCTGATGGAGTCAGGACTCAGAGACACGAGGAGAGCTGGAGCTCTGATGGAGTCAGGACTCAGAGAGACACGAGGAGAGCTGGAGCTCTGATGGAGTCAGGACTCAAAGAGACACGGGGAGCTGGAGCTTTGATGGAGTCAGGACTCAGAGACACGAGGAGAGCTGGAGCTCTGATGGAGTCAGGACTCAGAGAGACACGAGGAGAGCTGGAGCTCTGATGGAGTCAGGACTCAGAGACACGAGGAGAGCTGGAGCTTTGATGGAGTCAGGACTCAGAGAGACACGAGGAGAGCTGGAGCTCTGATGGAGTCAGGACTCAGAGAGACACGAGGAGAGCTGGAGCTCTGATGGAGTCAGGACTCAGAGACACGAGGAGAGCTGGAGCTTTGATGGAGTCAGGACTCAGAGAGACACGAGGAGAGCTGGAGCTCTGATGGAGTCAGGACTCAGAGAGACACGAGGAGAGCTGGAGCTCTGATGGAGTCAGGACTCAGAGACACGAGGAGAGCTGGAGCTTTGATGGAGTCAGGACTCAGAGAGACACGAGGAGAGCTGGAGCTTTGATGGAGTCAGGACTCAGAGAGACAAGGAGAGCTGGAGCTTTGATGGAGTCAGGACTCAGAGAGACACGAGGAGAGCTGGAGCTTTGATGGAGTCAGGACTCAGAGAGACACGAGGAGAGCTGGAGCGCTGATGGAGTCAGGACTCAAAGAGACGAGGAGAGCTGGAGCTTTGATGGAGTCAGGACTCAGAGACACGAGGAGAGCTGGAGCTTTGATGGAGTCAGGACTCAGAGAGACACGAGGAGAGCTGGAGCTCTGATGGAGTCAGGACTCAGAGACACGAGGAGAGCTGGAGCTTTGATGGAGTCAGGACTCAGAGAGACACGAGGAGAGCTGGAGCTCTGATGGAGTCAGGACTCAGAGACACGAGGAGAGCTGGAGCTTTGATGGAGTCAGGACTCAGAGAGACACGAGGAGAGCTGGAGCTCTGATGGAGTCAGGACTCAGAGAGACACGAGGAGAGCTGGAGCTCTGATGGAGTCAGGACTCAGAGAGACACGAGGAGAGCTGGAGCTTTGATGGAGTCAGGACTCAGAGAGACACGAGGAGAGCTGGAGCTCTGATGGAGTCAGGACTCAGAGAGACACGAGGAGAGCTGGAGCTCTGATGGAGTCAGGACTCAGAGAGACACGAGGAGAGCTGGAGCTCTGATGGAGTCAGGACTCAGAGAGACACGAGGAGAGCTGGAGCTTTGATGGAGTCAGGACTCAGAGAGACACGAGGAGAGCTGGAGCTCTGATGGAGTCAGGACTCAGAGACACGAGGAGAGCTGGAGCTTGATGGAGTCAGGACTCAGAGACACGAGGAGAGCTGGAGCTCTGATGGAGTCAGGACTCAGAGAGACACGAGGAGAGCTGGAGCTTGATGGAGTCAGGACTCAGAGACACGAGGAGAGCTGGAGCTTTGATGGAGTCAGGACTCAGAGACACGAGGAGAGCTGGAGCTCTGATGGAGTCAGGACTCAGAGAGACACGAGGAGAGCTGGAGCTCTGATGGAGTCAGGACTCAGAGAGACACGAGGAGAGCTGGAGCTCTGATGGAGTCAGGACTCAGAGAGACACGAGGAGAGCTGGAGCTCTGATGGAGTCAGGACTCA